TGATCACTTTCAGATCATAAAGGTCACTAAAATTAGGTCAATTTGATCAATTCCAACTTTTTGGTAAAGGTCACTTTTCAAAGTCAAAAGTCAACTTCTGGTCTCAAAGGTCACTTCCCGACTCAACTCAACTCAAAGGGTCACTTTCCAGTTCGATTTCTGTTAAAAGGTCACTTTCCGCTCAATTCCAGTTAAAGGTCACTTTTAAGCTCAATTCGATCAAAGGTCACTTTTCCTTTGTCTCAACTCAAAAGGTCACTTTTCGTCTCAATTATCTTATCTCAAATCAAATTTCTCATTACAGTTAGAGTTCAGCGGAAAATCCCCATTCGGGTTGTTTACCTCTTTCCTATTGGTCAGCTAGCTCAAATTATTCGGTTCAAATTTCAACCAATCACAGCTCAGATAACTGACCAATCACGTTGCTCCTCTGAAAATTTATATCTGCCTGACGTCACGGTCAACGGCCGGACATGCGCACCGTGTGCAAAACTCCGCCTATTTTTACGCTCAGCTCAGTGCGGACCAATAAAATTTGCGAATTTTACCAGCTAGCCAATCCCGTAATTAATAACGGTTTTTCTACCTGTTAACCGTCCGTCCGTTCCACGTCCGTCCGTTCCACGGGGGGAATGATCCAGATGATCCGATTCTTCTTCCAACTCCGCTCCCGCGTCGCCGCTGTTCCGTAGCGTGCCTCGCGCTATTAGGCTGATACTGTGCCGGCTGTGCCGTAGCAACAGTAATGCTCTACTCCAGTTTGGAGGAGTCTGAGCTGATCTTGTCCCGTGCGCCCCTTTTGGCGCTTCGCCGCTTGTGGCCCACGGCTTAGGATTCGCTGAATCCTTGCCGAGTATCAGCGACACCAGTGTAGGTCTTCGCTGAAGACTCTACACCGAGGAACGCTGACGACTGAACTCTTGTACTCTTGCACAGCTGAGGAAACAGCACAGGTCTTCGCTGAAGACACTGTACCGAAAACCAAAGCTGGAAATCCGCGTTCGGTTGAGGAAATTGCACCGCTTGTGGTGTGCGCTTTGCTGTGGGACTGACCTGTGCCTTACTGGTCACGGGAAACACGTCGGATAACAGGCCAACTTTGCCTGACACAATTCAAATCCAATCAGAGAACCGCTGTCGGCTCTGCTACCATCTAATGCTAGATCCAGAATGGATCCAGGGACAGAGACAGAAACAGAATCTATCCTGTGGAGTGAGCGAAACGATATGGTTCGCGAACTATGCGGAAACACAAAACGTCGCACCGTAATCGCTGACTTTTTAATATTGAAAGTCTGGAGCACAGAAAATCAACAACCGATCGGCGCAGCTCGATCGTAAATCGTAGAGCCAATTCAACAGCGTGCGGCGCTGTGCAGCACGTGCTATGCCGCGCCCACTAACAAAACACAAGCCAATCAGCGGCGAGACACAACACAGACACGTAATCCTAAGGCGTAGCGCCTAGCGCCACGGGCGTGAACGCTAGTGAGGCCTCGTCTCACAGTACAATACATACCCGACCTGTCCCCGGGACTGTGCTACTTTAATGTGACACTGCCACCCGACTGCGGGCCATCGAGGACGCTCTTTGCCTTTTATTTCAACATTCGGTGCGTAAAAAGAATGTCATACATTTCGTCAGTGTAGCCTTGATACTTTTGTAATCAACTGCAGAAAATTTCTTCTACCGGCGACTGACCATGTTCGAATCTATCAAACCAACGAATTGTTGCCGCGCATCCTTCTCAAAGAGTTGACCGGTTCCCACCCCGCGGGGTGGGAACCGGTCAACTCTTTGAGAATGACCGGGCGGCCGCCCGGTCCAATCCTTCTTCGGTCTCGCAAGCTCTGACATCCTACGTTAAACAACCATCCTTTACTTTCGAATTTTTCCGCGGTACATCGCCCTCTACGGAATCGCATCAGGCTTACATCGATTTTATTATCGTTGAAGGTTAGAAGATACGACTCGTGTACTGCTAACTGCAGTAAAAATATTCTATGCCGTATTTTGTGGTTCTACTAGATAGTCCGAGATCAATCAGTTCACACTGTCCCGCTTTATCGGGGTATGTGGACGTTTATTTCATCTGTCATACGGATGGAATCTATGATCGCGTCAACTGCCCGCACAGCTTTACTGCCGACGTGCATGCTGTGATCCAGCCTGCCTGAGACAGCCATGCCCTTTCAAGACCCCACCGAGTCGCTGGAACCCTCTACCATTAACCGACTACATGAAGACACAGGGCGCACCAGGTACCAAAAAATTGCGATTTTGCTTATTGGTTCTATTAGGTAACAAGTGGGGCTGGGGTCACACCAGACTGTTGTTGAAAAAGAAATTGCAACAAGTGCGATTGCGATGAGCAAGTATCCGTACCTGCAGTGCCATTACTACGGCATTAATTACCGTAAATACTCACTCATTTGTGACCAGCCACATCTTTTGACGGAAATTTGGCGGACATTAATTCGAACATTCAGCTCTTGGAGCTCTCTGTTCTCACATAATTGGGAAGCCGGTGCATAAAATCTAGACGAGCGAAACTTAACTGCGCTTTTTTTTTCAGGCAGTGGCTTGAGTTGGCAGGATAGCGCTAACATTATGGGAATTGTATTTTTATGTATTTTATTTGTTGTCATCACCCTTATCGTGTTTCTTATTGTCCGCGATGCCCGGCGACCTACATCACCCACCGGATCCATCGTTCAACCATCAACAAACGATAATATGCAAATAGAGCCGCTACGAGTTATGCCGCACGATTGCCCGTGGGGAAATCCTGGACAGGACCAACAACATGTTGCACCCCTTCCGCTCTTTGCGGGCGAACCGTCTTCGTATTCACAAGTCACTGCAGCACCAACACTAGTCGACATTTCTCTGTCGCACCCGGCATCCTTTAAATCAAGCACATAGCTTGAAACTGGGGAAAAGCTGGTGCATCTTGATATGTCCGCGTGGGAGGGAATTTCTCGCATCCTAATAAGCAGCCGTAAAGATTGCACTTTTTCGCGTTTCCACTTTCCGCATATCGAATGACTATAAAATACTGCGCAGGTCAGGCGGTAATCAAGAGTATTAAGGTCACCACAATTCGTTATTTGGTTTCGTTATTTTATTAATTTTCTCAGGTTAAGCGGTTTCGTTGGCTGTTGCCGGAACACTAATAAGCGTAAAATATTTGATTCATTATTTGCAAGCAAGTCACCTTGTTTAAATTCTAGTTCCGTTCTAGTGCGACTGTCTAATCACTGCAGATCAATGGTAAAGCAATTCGAATTTGCTTACAATTTTTTATAAAACCAGCGGATGAGCATTATTATATTTTTACCGCCGTTTCTGAGCGATACCATCTGTTGAAGTACCGCCCTCTAACCGCAGACGCTTTACCTGCAGTTGCATCATCCACTTTCTCTGCTTTCACGTACCGTAGACTAGCATGCTGAACAATGCCAACTTCCGCCAAAAACTAAATATAGGGGGCATTCACCGGCTGCCCTCCGACGTAAATCGATTGTTACAACAACTACCTTTTGCCGAATGAAATTGTTGACTTCTTGAACCGATGGATGATTCGAAGAGTGAAATTTAATTATGGAAAGTGCAAGAAAATGATTCCGAGTGTAAAATCGTAGTTTTACCAATCAAATCGTTCTTTTTGTAATACGTCTGATGGATATGCCGCAAAAGCCAACATTATACGCAGTGACGCACAAATGCAGCAGCCATTTTCCTGTTTCCACGCACATTAGTCGAGCAGGCCTGTTATGTAGTCATGTAGCTGATGGCGGAAAGAGATATAATTCGTTTTCCTGCTGTTCGGCTTACACGAAACAGCCATGGCAAGTCCATTAATTTTAACGCACTGCCTGATGCACAGCAGCGTTTTTGCTACCTGATATGAATGTTACAACAGCCAAGTACTAAACAGAAAGGATAAGCACGACACGCCTACTTCCGGTGTTACCTCACGACAAGGCAAGCCAGCCATCGCACAATACTTTATGGCTCGTAGGCTCCATTGGCCGCCATGTTAAGGGATTTTCAAGCTGTAGAAGTTTATTGAGCGGGCTATTGCTTGAAAGAAAGATAAAAAATTCTTAGGAAAGAATTTGATGTATAATTTGTATGCAAAAGAACTCAGTTAATGTTTTATAAAAAGGTCTCAAAATGTATTCCATTAGCACACAACGGTCGCTTTATGGTATGATATCAGTATTTGCTTATGGCATCATATGTTTATCACGTTTCTCACGTCCATTTTGTGTTTATTATGTCTTTCTTATGTCTCTTACGCTTTCATGTGTTTTTTACGTTTTCAAATGTTTCTTAATATTCTTATTTATATTATGTTTCTTAAGTTTTCATTACATTGATATATTTAAATAAGAGGAACATAAAAATAACTTATGAAATAAAAATAAAAAATAACGTAAAAAATTACCTAACTTTTCTTAACATAACAATAAGAATATGAATAAGTTAGTGGCTTAAGAAGAACATAGAAATACTTCACATGAGGCATAACAAAAGAATAAAAGAAGTAATAACATAAGATATAACAGAAGAAATGATATAAGATTAAAGAATTGCAAAAGAAACGTCAGAAAACTCATGAAATAATGTAAAAAACCTTAGCATTTGACATATGCTCGTACTAATAACTGGTAGTCAGACGCAGACTTTTAGTAAGTACTAAGTACTCAGACTCAGCTAGTCAGTAGTCTTAATTTTAATGACGAGCGAATACAAAGTAATGTAACATCCACAAAAGGAACATGACATTACGAATTTAACAAACAGCGGAAACAGGCGGCCGAATTACAGAGAACATTTGATCTAAATTAGCCGTGGCTGGTGCCGTAAGTCAGTAGTCCGACTCAGCCTTTTAGGAGTCACGCTCAGACGCAGCGCTTCAGCGCTGGCCATACTTCCTTTTACAGCCTACTCTGTAGTCTGTAGTCTGTACTTACCAGTTGCGCACAGCAGAGTTCCACAGTTTGAATTGTGTCTATAACAGTGTGTACTGTAAAATACGAGCAATGCTGTAATTATGGCTAATTATTATGTCTTCAATTGTGTAGCGTGTTACTGTTTGTGTACCGTGTTACAGTTTTACAGCTATATTCTGAAATGGGTACCGGAAGCCAGTTCTTCATTATCCTTGGTCTGGGATTTCTTTCCTGTATCTGCAATGTGAATGCTCAGTATTATCGCTACTGTAAGTGATCTGGCATAATTAAACTGCTGCTCCGTATATATATTATTTTCAACAGTTGCTCGCTTTTAGCTGATCATTGTAAGCAACTGAATACAGTACCTTTTCTATCCTTTGTGCTTTGAAACATGGTGTTTTTGCCCGACGTTGTGCGAACTGCGAAATTTCAAGCACCGGAACTTTCGCTGAGCGGGTTCTTGTAATTTTCTTAAGCACCTGGCCGTCATTACGCGAAGCGCTACGGCTTTGTTAAACACTCCAGTATTAGAGAATTGGTAGGATAATGATTCTGGTTGTTTTTTTAATGTTTCAAAGTTGAACTGTGAATCAGCGTGCCAGCGCTTTCACTGTGTTTTTGATGGTCGACGGCCGTACTACGAAGCACACTCAAAAGCAACTTTCCCAATTTACCTTACTGTCATAAGTGTCATTTGAAGTAATATTTACACACCAATGATATATTATTTTTTTTGCCTATGCCATTACGTAAGCCATTTAAGGACATGCTAATTAAAATTTTCGGAGAAGAACAGTGAAAGCGAAAAATCTCAAACCTATATGCACTTTTACAGTTTTTTCATGGCCCTTTTCTGAACCCTTTTTTAATGTCAGAACGGCAGTACCGCCTTTTAAGTTGATTCGACGATTACTTACTTATTATCAACTGCAAAATACTGCTATTTTTACTTTATTGTGTTGGCAGATCGTTTTGAAAAACTCGTATACTCGTATTAAAGCATTTTTTTAATAGGATGCCAAAATTTCTCTATTTTCAGGCTCCTCGCTTTTGTGAATAAAAAAAGGCGTTTTATGGAGTCCCCAGCGTACCTTAGAGAAAAAAAGTTTAAATTTCACCGACTGATAAATTTTATTCACGAATTTTTATTTTTTAAAATTACGGTTGCTCAAAAACTTTCTGTTTTTGTACCTACTAGGCTACTCCCTAACAGTTTTTATTTTCCTAAAAAAGCGGTCTAAACAAGTTGTTCTTTTCACAAATTTTCTTACACGAAGGAAGAATTCCTCAATCTCATAGCTTTTGTATTCTGCAAAAACAGCTACGAAAACGAAAGATCGACAAATTTAAAAAACTGATTAGGGAAGAAGCACCACCAAAGGCCATCAACAGTTTTTTTGACAAGTTTTCCTCATTGTGTTGTAATTTAATTAAAGTTATTTATCTTCTGCTTTGCATAACGTAGGAAGATTTTAATGATATGACGAATAGTGGCTGAACGGGTTTCTGGCGGCCGACGGGAGATACAAATTAGAAAAAATTACTTTTGGAATGCTCTTAAAATTTCTGTAAGGCGCGATTCAAGTATTACGTAACGCAAAGGGGTGGGGGGTGGTCATGGGTTTTTGTTACGCCGTGTTACATTGGGTAGGGGGTCCAAAAATTTTTGTTACGTGCGGGCCGACACCCCATAAAAAAACGAAAAAAATTCATATATTTTAATTGAAATTTAATAGGGGGGTGGTCGGGCTCTCTGTTACGTATGCAGTTAGGGGGTCGAAAATTTTGTTATGCAGTGTTACAAGGGGTGGAGGGTGGTCCGAAATCACGAAAAATCGCGTTACGTAATACTTGAATCGCGCCTAAGCTGTCTGTGCTTTCCGGCCAAGTTCAAAAACAAGAAGGAATAAAAAAAGGAAGAAACGTTTAATTATTCAAAAGAGCTAGAGAATTTTTGAAGGAGGAAATTCTTACAGTCAAAACCAAGGAGGGAATTTTTTAAACAAAAAAGTACAGGAAATTTCTGTGGTCGGATAACTTTCTGGGAGGCGTGATTTAGCCAATTACGCATTTCTGCGTGTTGAGAAATTTATTTTAAAGCCTTCTAACCATGGTTTAATTCCTATAAACTTTACCTATTATTTGTGAACAATTTCAAGGTAACATTTTCTGAAAATTAGGGATGCTTCTGAATATTGAAAATATTCCATACACCGCGCCACAAATAATTCTTCAAACGCTAGTACGCTTCGCTCGATAATACTTCTTATAAAAGATTCGGCTTTTTTACCATAAAAAGCTTCTCTCTCTTTCTGGCTACAAGACATTCCTTCCTTTAAAAATTTCTAGTTTCCTCTTTTTACTAAAAACTTATTTCTTCCACATTCATTCGTTTTTTCATATATTCCACACTTTTTTCACCTTGGCCGCTTTTCTCATTCAGTTTCGCACCGGAAATAGCCGCACACCGATGTGGTTGTATCATCCAATGCGTTCAGCGGTTACCCAGCATAATTACCCAGTTGTTTATATTACAGTACAAGTGACCAGTTGCTGAAAAACTGCGAAATACGAGTACTAATAAATTTAAAAAATAGTAAAATTTAGCGATTAACGAGTACGAGTACTAATAAAACGAGTACTAATAAAGTACGAGTACTAATAAAATTAGTAAATTAAAAAAACTAATAAATTTCATACAACTATTATTTTCATTCTATTAAATTCCATCGCACTAATTAATTTCATACGCAAAATTTTCACCTCTTATAAATGTTTGAAAAAATTAAGGTTTCCCCCAAGGTAGAAAACATGTTCGCATGTGTTATGCGCAAGTATTTAGCTAACAGTTGAAAGGCAGCAGTAAAAATGGAAAAAAATGGTAAAAATTTTGGTAAAAATCTGCAGCTAAACAAACCCCTTGCAGAACGATTCAGCTGTCATGAAAATGTATTATAAATTGAAAAACATAATTATGGATCCACAGATACAGATTTGGAAAAGACATGCAATCAGAGCGTGGAATTAGAGTGTCCGTTTTCGTTCACTGGACGAGCCGGAACATTCCACTATGACTACATATCCGACCTGTCCCCGGGACTTTGCTACTTTAATGTGACACTGCCACCTGACTGCGGGGCATCGAGCGACTTTTTCGCCGTCTATTTCAACATCCGGTGCGTAAAAGGGATATCATACAATTCATGTGGTCGTAATGCTTTTTTGATGAATTACAGGAAGTTTCTTCTACCGTCCACCGACCGTTTTCGAATCTATCAAACTAACCGACTGGCACCGCGCATCCTTCTCAAAGAGTTGAACGGTTCCCACTCCGCGCGGTCCAATCCTGCGTCGGTCGCGCAAGCTCTGACATCCTACGTTAAACAACCCTCCTTTACTTTCGAATATTTCCGCGGCACATCACCCTCTACGGAGTCGCATCAGGCCAACATCGATTTTATTATTGTTGATAGTAAGAAAATATGTCTCCTCTAAGCTGAATGCAGACATTATTCGGTTAATCAGTGACGTGATCGAATTATGCCATATTTTGTCGTTATCCTAGAGAGTACGGATGTATTGAGTGCGTCCTGCACTGCTTTGTCGGGGTTTGTGGACGATTATTTCATCTGTCACACAGACGGCATCAATGATCGCGTCAACTGTCCGGACAGCTTCACTGCCGACGTGTATGCAGTGAATCCAGCCTTGAAAAGGCAAACATGCATTTTCAAGTCCCAGCCGAGTTTCGCGAACCATCAACCAATAGATGATTATCTGAACGCCCAAGACGCACCAGGTACACTTCACACAATTCGCTTATTTGCTATGGTACACTTCGTTGAAAATATCCTGGAAACAAGTAGTGGTGGGTTCGCACTAAGGCTGTTGTTCAAAATCAACTTGATATAAGTACTTTGTGCAGGAGCACTAATTGACAGCATTGACCAAGACGAGGAATCAGTACTACGACGTTAAATGCTCAACAGTGTCAAATTATTATTGTTCACAAATATACTCGTACGACCTGGAGATAACGAAACTGAACTAAGCTATATTTTCTAGGCAGTTATAAGCTTTTGTTTCCAGGCTTGAGCTCCGGTGCCATTGCGGGAATCGTCTGTGGATGTGTTTTATTTGTTGCCATAATCGTTACGGCAGTTTTCATGGTTCGCTCTGCCCGGCGACGAACCTTACCCAGCCTACCCATCGTTCTGCCATCAACAAGCGGCGACGTCCAACTAGAGCCACTACTAGCTGTGCCGCCGGATGCCACAAGTTGGCAGGCGGTGCTCGATGATGCTGTACAGGACCAGCAACATGTTGCATCCCCTCCGCCCATTTTGGAAGTACCGCCTTCGCATTCACAAGCCAATACAGCACCAGTCGCCATTACCCTGTCGAACCCGCCATCCGATACATGATGAATGAAGCTGGAAAATTCTTCAACAATCTTGATTATGTCCACGTGCGAGGCAATTTCTCAAATTCTAACAAAAGCCCTTAAGATTGGACGTTTTCGAATCATTGAATGGATGTAAAATACTGCGCAGGTCGACGGGGCCGTGTTGAAGTAGTATTAAGGTCACACTGACTTTCGTTTTTTGATTTCGTCATCCTGTTAACCGTTTTTCGTTTCGTTGGCTGACATTTTTGGATTCTGTTTTTTTCGTTTTTTAGATTTTTTGGATTGGTTGGCATTTTTTTTCGTTGGTTGGTTTTTGAAGTTTGACTGCTCTTCTGTTGACCCACAGCCTTAACTGGGCAGTGTCCAGTATTCCCGTAGGCGGTTTTGATTATTTTTGTGTATAAAGTAGTTTCAGTATAGCCAAACGAATTTTCACAGTTAAAGACATATTATTATATTGCTGACCGGTGGTTATTTCGGCGGCCCCTAATATTATGCTCAATACTGATGCTCATAAACAGCCCTTTAAAAACTGTCAAAGGGAAAACGTTTTTTAACCAGAATACTTTTTATTACAGCTGTAGTAATTGAAATTAAATTTGTCATGCGTATCAGGCAACTCTTTGTTGTCAGATTGATACTGCCCTGCTGTAGCTGACCTATGGCCAGCAAAATGTTGAAAAAAAAGATTTTTTAATTGTATTACTAGTATTTTATCGACAAATCCCAGTTTTTATGGTCAAATTCGAACGGGATCGGGTGCCGGGAATATTTATTTATAACAAATGAGCATCATAATTGCGATGACAACTTTTTATTTTCCGCCAAGTCCATTTCTTAATAGTAATTTCTGTTAGAAGTAGCACAGCATGCTGAAAAATAAGAAGATTCATGATGAAGCCCGGAAATCAGTATTAATGCGATTACGGCCATGTCCAGATAATTAGAGACAGAACTGCTGGTAAAGAGTTAATCAGAAGATGGCAGTCTAGAAAAATCTTTATTATTATCAACGAAGTTGAACGAACGTATGGACCTTTGGGCCGGTAAAGCGCCTTAAACATGGTTACGTGGAAGAGGTACCGATAAAAATGCAGAATTTACAGAGATGACATTATATTTGCGGAAGCCGACAACATACAAATGTTTGCGCCGTAATGTTACTTCCGGAAAATAGTTTCTTAATGGCTTAGGGTTTGTCTGCTCGAAAGTGAACTAAACTAAACTCACGACTGTGCCCTGTCGACTCAGCGCCATGCGCCCATGCCGTTCTGCACCACTTGTACGTACGCGTTCTGCGCTCGCCCCCCACACGGGTTAGGCGCTCACGCTGACCGCTATCATTCCTCAAACGCAGCATCACACTCTTTCGCTCCCGATGGATCAGAGCTCATGTTCCGTCTATCGTCGTTCTATGCACCAGCTGGCTGCCGGACGTTGCCCACAATGCCCAGCAAGACCATTCTGCACTCAAGCTTGAACAGTCTAGCAATATTGAACGTTTCTAGATTTTATTGCTTACGGCAACTGGCTTTGCTCTTTCTTGCAATCACACGCGGCATTGTTCCCACTTTACTTGTGCTATAAGAAGCCTGACGTAGCTCTTCTGTGCTTGCCTGTTACTTCTTGCGAAAAAATGCTGCTTTTCAGTAAGTGAGTGATAAAAATAATGCCGTATTGGAATAGATTCTTGCGCTGTAAAACTTCAAAACTTGATTACCGTATATCTATATAAACTTTATCTTTATAACAGCCAACTGCTGTGTGCGACACACTTTTACTGTGTTGGTGTTTGTCCGCAGTTTAAACAAAATGGGCACTGGATGCGCCTTCTGCATTATCCTTGGTCTGGAATTTTTTTCCTGCATCCGCACTGTGGATGCTCAGTTTTATCGTTACTGTAAGTGATGGTGGCTTAATACGTAAAACCGCTGCCGCTGCCAACTGCCTTAACAGTTGGTCGCTTTTGCTGTTCATTATAAACAATCAATACCTTTTTATCCTCTGGGCTTTAAACGTGGTGTTTTTGCCCATCTTAGAGCGAAATGCTAAATTTTTTAAGCCGGAACGCGTTACTCTGGCTATCATTAACACTCGCACTCGTCTATGGTTTAATGATACTTATGCTGTGTGATGAGTAATCGCATGTACAGTAGCTTCAGTAAGCGTCAACGATCGTTACTGCGGTCGTGTTGACAGTTGCTTATGCAACAGTTATTAATTGTATCACGTATGATTCTTATCTTTTTGATGATGATGCTTCAGAGCTGAATTGCTAGCTTGTATGTAAACGGAAATCCTAACAGATTCATTCTACCGACTAAGATCTTGGAAATAAATTCTGGTTATGAATCGGTACTTTGGCATTATGTGTATATGGTAATATACATCATATATCATGGCGCTCCTGGCATAACGTACCCGTGACCTTTCTTTTCCATATCATGGTTGAGTTGGAGTTAACTTTACCGGAATCAGATTATGTTATGCTTGATGTTAATGACCGTATAACTACTCTTCAAGCGGATACCGAGCGTCGCCTGCAGATACTGGAGGAGCAATTGAAAGGTCAGCAATACTGTTAATATGCCTTCAATCTGCTCTTGTTTTAATGCCGCGGTCGGTAAAATTCTCTCTTGCTGCTCGTTTACCACTAAGGTTCTTTTGGCTGTAACCGTGTCTAGCGTTGTCGCTAACGGTGTGCTTGGGTACATGTTGTATCAGGCGAAGAGCAGCTATATCTGCAGTCAACTTCTTGGTTAAATCTTATCTATTTTGTTTATATTGTATGTCGAGCGGTTCTGGTAAACCGCATTCCGATAAAACCGGTAAGGTTGCCGACAAAGCGAAGGACGCGTTAGTCGCTCCAACCAAATCAGCTAGTAGTGCTAGCCAACATCCCAGTGAAAGTGACCTTTCAGGTGGCGGTGGTCCGCGCCTACGCTCTGACGGTCAACCAGAATTCTCACAGGGCTTACAAGGTTCAGAATATCAAAGACGGCCAAAACCTGAGCAAACTGATAGTCAGTCGCGCACCACTTCTGAAAGCTCAGATACTGGGACGGAAAGCCAGGTTGTTACTGAAGTAGGTGAAACAACCGGCACCGAAAGTTCGGCACCAGTTAAAATGACAGATCCGGCTATCAAAGCGATGACCGATGGGTTTGCGAAGTTAACGAACACAGTGTTCGACGCCCCATCCAGCGGTCCGCTCCAGTGTACGGAGAAATTTAAACCCTCCGAGCACGATGCGCGCGAATGGATTAAGGAGTTCGAAGAAGCCGCTACACTTTCTAATTGGAAAGATGACATTAAAAAAGAGCGGTTTTCTTTTTACCTGTCTGCCGGTGCAGCAAAACAGTGGTACACGCTCAACAAGCCGTTCACTAACTGGGCCGCATTGAAGACAGCATTTCTGAACGAGTTTGTGAGTAAAGATGAAAAGTGGGAAACTCAGAACAAACTCCAGAACAGGAAGTTTAAGCAAGACAGCGAGACTCTGGTTGAGTACTATTACGCTATTATCGCTTTGTGTCGTAAAGTGGATGAAAATATGGCTGCAGATATGAAGGTTCATTATCTGCTTAACGGATTAGGTGTTCAGCTGCGTAATCATGTCGCGCTGTTAGATCCAAAAACACCTGAAGAAATTTTGGCAAAGTTGAAGATTTTAAAGTTTGAAAGCGGTAAATCTGATGCTGGTGTGCATAACGTTTTAGCCGCCACTTCGGCATCATGTTCGTCACCTAAGAGGAAAGGGGATGAGGTCATCCCAGCTGACGAGGTCGGTGCCTCAACGGCTTGTTCGAAAACGTATTCGCAGTCGGAACTGGACAACGCCGTCCGTGAGGCTGTTGAAAAGGCGATGGAGGTGGCGCGCGATAATACCGCTGTTCCTGTGCTGACTCAGACGTATGTGCGCGGCGGCGGCAGCAACACATTCCGTGGTCGTTTTAGTGGAAATCGTGGACGTGGGCGTGGCCGCGGTGGCAGAGGCGGACCGGCTTCTACTACAACAAGTGCGTCCGCACCAACCACATCACGTGAAATCCCGGCAGAAACGACTGAGGATGGCAAACGGTTTTGTACCTTCTGCAAACGCGAAGGACATCTTGAGGGTCGGTGCTTTGACAAGCGACGTGCCATGAGGGAGCTGCAGTCCCGCGGAAACGCGCGAGGTGAGCACCGTAATTTAAACTAGATGGAGTGGCACCGATTCGGGGCGTGGCTACTCGTACTGATCCTCCCGATAAGAGTGAGTTGTCTCCTCTTGCTGTTTATCCAATCACAGAGAATAACGATGAAGAGTTGCAGTCATATCCTATTACAGCTAGTGCGTACGTCAATGGTGTCCCGGTGGATGCTATTATAGATTCTGGTTCAGCTGTCACTATAATGAGCTTGCGCTGTGCGCGCTCGTTAAATGTGTTTGTGGAACGCTATAGTGGCCGTTTGATTAAAGGAATTTCAGGTAAACTAACTGAGCCGGCTGGCATTACCTCGGTCGAAATTTCGATTGCTAGTTGTACAATACGTATAAATGTTTTAGTACTTGATACATATGACCGTGACTTACTTGTTGGTAACGATTTTCTTATGCAAACCGATTTGGTTATCGATTATGCAACACGTAGTGTACGTCGCTTCAGCGACGGTGCTGGTGAGAAATTCCTGCCGTGGTCGGCACGGGATGTCGTGGTGTGCGAACGTGTTAACATACCAGCCGGGCATGTCGCTTGGGTCAAATGCAAACTTAAGCGTAACAAGTTTCCTGGTCGTGTTACTTCAGAAAATATGGAATTCATAACTAGTCCAAACGCTAAACTATTTGCACAAAGGGTCTGCGAACGTCGCATTCCTTAATAAAATTGTAAACAATTGTTGTTACTTAAGTTGTGCCAATTTCTCACGAACTAAAAGAAACTAGTTAATAACGAAGTCGTTGCGTGTGCCCAGCCGGTTTTCGTTGAGGAATCTGAACCGTGTTTGGCGACCGATCGTGTTGTTGACGAGCACCCGTTACCACAATTAAATGTTGGCAGTCAGGTGACTCCAAAACAAAACGAGCAACTTCGTGCATTACTGCGCAAACACTGGAAAGTGTTTCCAACGCCCGAGCGCCCAATCGGTGAAGTGACTGGTGTCGCTCACCATATTGACACAGGCACTGCTGGCCCGATGTCACAGCCGCCGTATCGACGCTCTTGGGCCGAACGAATAGTTATTCGTACTGAAGTTGACAAGATGCTGCGTCAAGGAATTGTCTGTCCGTCTTCTAGCCCGTGGGCTTCGCCGGTTGTGCTGGTGCACAAGCGCGATGGCACCACCCGTTTCTGCGTAGATTACCGTCGCTTGAACGCAATTACGAAGAAGGACGTTTACCCGATGCCGCGTCTGGACGATGCCTTGGATCGGTTAGGTGGGTCAACGCATTTTTCTAGTTTAGATATGGCTTGGGGTTATTGGCAGATTCCGGTGTCGGAATCTGACCAAGAAAAGACGGCGTTTGTAACCCCTGACGGGTTGTACCAGTTCAACCGGATGCCTTTCGGTCTCTGCAATGCAGGTGCCACCTTTCAGCGGTCTATGGACCGTATCCTCAGTGAGTTCCGTTGGCAATTTGTAATTGTCTACATTGATGATGTGCTAATATATTCAAAAAGTTTTGAAGAACATTTATTGCATCTCGATTTAGTACTGTCGCGGTTACAGGCAGCTGGTGTTGTACTTAAACCGTCGAAATGTACATTTGCTACAGATCATACAAAATATCTCGGGCATATAATTGACTATAATGGTATTAGTCCTGACCCGGAGAAATTAAGTGCCATTGTTGACTATCCCGAGCCAAAAAACGTAACCGACATAAAGTCTTTTCTGGGCTTGTGCTCTTACTTCCGTCGGTTCGTTAAAGATTTCGCCGCTATGTCCGAGCCGCTGGTGCGCCTCACACGTAAAAGCGAGCAATTTGTGTGGTCTACTGAACAGTGCGCTAGTTTTGAAGCGTTGAAATCGGCACTCATCAGTTCGCCTGTGCTGACTCACTTCGACCCAGCAGCTGAGTTAGAATTGCACACGGATGCTAGTGCGCTTGGTATTGGCGCGTGTCTAGTGTCGAAAACTGACATCGGTGAGCGTGTTCTTGCTTATGTAAGCAAAAACTTTAACCCTGCGGAGACTCGGTACTCAGTCACCGAACAAGAGTGCTTAGCGGTTGTTTGGGCTATTAAAAGTTGCGCCCATATTTATCAGGAAAATGTTTCCGCGTGGTCACGGATCATTGTGCTCTTTGCTGGTTAATGTCCCGTCGTGAGCTAGCAGGCAGATTAAGCCGGTGGTCCGTTTTTCTGCAAGAATACAATTTTGTGATTGTATATCGTAGCGGAAAAAACACCAGAATGCTGATGCGTTGTCGCGTCACCCCGTGGAAGCAGCTGACTCCGCTGACATAGATTTCGACATGTTAGTCGCTATGACCACATCTGCTGACATGTCTGTTGAACAACAAGCTGATGGCAAACTTAGTACAGTTATATCTAAGCTGAAAGCAGGTGCTGCTGGCAAGGATACTGTACGCTATTGTCTTCGCGGTAATGTGTTATACCGCAAAGCCCTGGTGGACGGAGAGGAAGCGTTGTTGCTGGTTGTACCTCAACAGCTGAGGCGACAGATTCTGTACGCATGTCATGATGAATCAACGTCCGGGCATCTCGGCTTTTGGCGTACATACAATAGATTACGTTCGCGGTATTACTGGCCACGTATGCGCGATCACATACGTCGGTACGTACGTGGTTGCGAGCATTGTCAGTTTAGGAAAATAAATACAGAAAAACCTGGTGGTTTTATTGAAAGTATCCCGGTGGGAACTGCATTTGAAATGATCGGTATTGATGTCTTCGGTCCATTACCTGTGTCTTCGAAAGGAAATAGATATGTTATTGTTTGTACGGACTACTTAACTAAATACGTAGAAACGAAAGCCGTAACAGCGCAAACTGCAGGTGCAGTTGCAAACTTCTTAGTTTCTCAAATTATATTGCGGCACGGTGCGCCGTCAAAAATGTTGTCAGACCAAGGTGGTCCGTTCCTTTCCGCGGTCGTGAAAGGAGTTACAGATTTGTGCCAAGTTAAACATCTTAATACAACGGCTTACAACCCTGCCTGTAACGGATTAACGGAAAAGTTTAACAAAAGTCTTGCGGTCATGTTGAGTTTATACGTAAGCGATAACCAAAAGGATTGGGACCTGTATTTACCGTATATCACTTGTGCATATAATACGAGTACACAAGCGTCGACCGGCAAAAGTCCATTTTATCTGTTGTATGGACGCGAATGTCGCTCAGTACTAGATAGTCAACTTGGTGCTCTTCCGAGTAATAACATCAGCAACTTGCACGAATACAGTAAAACTATGATTGAACGAATCAGATTAGCTAGCCAGGTGGCTAAGGCTAATATCGACCAAGTGCAGGCTGGTTATATGTTGACTGGCAATTTGAAAAGACAGCATCGTGAGTTCAGGATTGGTGATCTTGTACTGCTGTACACTCCTGTGACACCGGTTGGTTTGTCACCAAAATTAATTGCACATTATTTTGGTCCATACCGAATTATTAACCGCGTGTCCAAGCTAAATTACGAGATTGAGTCAGTACGCAACAAGCGTGGAAAGCGCGTCATGACGGTTCATGTTAAGCGCTTGAAATTGTTTACTCAACCACTGTCGGATGATGATCTTAATGGCGATTGTGATTCGCAGTGGAGCGTCCCGATGGAGTCCGTGGATCCGGAACTGAAAGAGGACATTGAACGCACAGCTGTTACACCATCTCGTCCCATTCCTGATCCAACAGCCGGTCCGTTAACCGATACCGACAATCGCCCTGCTATCCGGACCCTCCGGAACCGCACTATCCGCAGCTCATCACCATAACATTTGCGTTTTTACTGCTTCTCTTGCGACAGTTGATTTTATGACTTGTTATTGATAATTGTGATTATTTTGTGATTGTCAGTTGCTGAAACTTTGTCTGGTGACCAAAGTTCTTAAGATACGGGGTGCTGTGTGATGAGTAATCGCATGTACAGTAGCTTCAGTAAGCGTCAACGATCGTTACTGCGGTCGTGTTGACAGTTGCTTATGCAACAGTTATTAATTGTATCACGTATGATTCTTATCTTTTTGATGATGATGCTTCAGAGCTGAATTGCTAGCTTGTATGTAAACGGAAATCCTAACAGATTCATTCTACCGACTAAGATCTTGGAAATAAATTCTGGTTATGAATCGGTACTTTGGCATTATGTGTATATGGTAATATACATCATATATCACTTACACGGATTTATCTAGTGTGCCGCGCAGGCGCAGCCCATAGGCTCGTCCCGGTCTGGTGTAGAACTTCATGCAGAATGTTTTCTAAACTTTTCTCTTACATTTTCACCAACCGGAAGTGGTTGGAATTCGTAGTTTTTAAGTTTTCCGTTCAATTATTTTTACTAATAATGTTTGAATAAGTGAAAATGAAACAGATTTTGTGAGGAATTCAGGGCCATTTCAGGCGAGGTAGGAATAACTCAACTGCCAGTGTGACGTTCCATGAATTTCTGAATGATTACTGCAAATGTGCCTCTCAGACCCATGGTTGACTTATCCAAGAAAAGCCGGCTATCACAAGGAATGCGAATTCAGATTTGAAAATGGCCCGCGCTCAAGCTCGGACTTGGACTCGGACTTGGACTGCTGAAACTTGGACTTGGACCACACTTGGACTTCATAACTTGGACTTGGACTTCCTTACTTGGACTTGGACTTCTCAACTTGGATTTCTAAATCGAACTTCTTAACTTGGACTTCGACCTAAGAACTTGGACTTCTAGCTTGGACTTCTCCTCAGAAATAAACTACCTAGTTAGCCTAAGAAACCTAAGAAACCTCAGAAATAAACTAGTTAGCCTAAGAAACCTGAGAAACCTAAGAAACCTAAGAAAACTAAGAAACCTAAGAAACCCAAGAAACCTAAGAAACCTAAGAAACCTAAGAAAACTAAGAAACCTAAGAAACCCAAGAAACCTAAGAAACCTAAGAAACCTAAGAAACCTAAGAAACCTAAGAAACCTAAGAAACCTAAGAAATCTAAAAAACCCAAGAAAAGTCCAAGTTGAAGAGTCCAAGTCCAAGTTTAGAAGTCCAAGTTTAGAAGTCCAAGTGTGGTCCGAGTCCGAGTTTTAGTAGTCCAAGTCCGAGTCCAAGTCCGAGTTTGAGCATGGGCCTTTGAAAATTGGTAGTCTCGGATAAAATAATTCAAGTTAGAAAAGAATTACAGCCATTTAACTAACTACAGCCTACAGGAACGAAATCTCCTATAAAATATTTTTGAAGCGCTCTACATACGGGTACATGCACCACAATTCAATTTCAATTTTGCCAGTACCGGATGTTAAGATAAAACGTAAACCGATCGTCCTGGCGCCCGCAATTGGGAGCCAGCGTGACATTGAAGGAGCACAGTCCTGGTGGCAGCCGGCTGATATTATAGCGACTGTGGTTAAATTCAAATAATTAGAACTTTATTTGATTGGTCAGTCTGTGTGGATTGATGAGTCACAGCTGGCTAGTGTGTTAACGGTGTTTAACGGTGTGATGTGAAATGGGAGATTGGACGCTGATCAGTCGGTGATTGAGTAACCTCCTAAATTTGAATAAATTTGTCCATGGACATTCTGTCGTTCGTTCGGTCGTAATAACCTCTCGTTCTTCCACCTTTCCACACAGCGATCTTCCAGAGAAACAGTAAGATCTCTTCCTGTTTATGAGCCTTGCAAGTCTGGGCAATAAGACCACCAACATCGGTCCTTTTAGCGGCGTGGCGCGGCGTGTAGCCAACCCACAGTAAACGGGAGCACACCGTCAGGCTTCCGTTGTATGGCGCTTCCTGATTCAAGGGATCGCAAAGAGCCCCCATCAGCTCCTAACGTAGAAGAACAGTGGAAAGTAGTGCAGAATCGAGGTGCGAAGCGTATGCGAGCTGGAATAGCGGACGTAGAGCGAAGTGCAGCAGAGCATCAAGAGTACCTCGGATCCGAAGCCATAGCGTACAGAATCTCGTGGTCGGATTACAAGTGGTGGAGACAGCAGGAGCAGACACGTAAGGGTAAGCACCATCATCCCTAAGTTATAATCGTAGAGATTGTGAGGTTTTGAGGCAGATTTTATGTGTGAAAACCTACGCATTGGAGAGATATTTTACTCGTATTGAGGACTGACGTTTTAGCGTAGTGCAGTATCCCGTGTGTGTCCATACTCGTATGGTTTATTTCTGATGCAGTCGTATGAAGTTTTATGAAAATTTCTGGTTTGAATTCGTATGAAGTCCATCTGGAAATTTTAAGAACTGCTGTATTTTAGGAAAGTTTTGTAGAAGGGCAGAATTTTCGTTTCTCGTGAGGATTTTCCGAAACGTGCCTAGACGTGCAAAGTTTGCATGTAAGCTTGAGATCGTAAAGTTTGATGAGCGTGCGCCGGCATGTCGACCACTGAACCGACAGCGCGAGGCAGCGCCGATAGAACAAAAGACGAGGAACTGGAAGCAGAGCGCAGACAGATCGTAAAGTTGTTGACTCAAGTGAAACGGGCGAAAGTTAACGAAATTGCCAGTAAAATTAATGCAGTATTAAAAGTAACGATGAATAATAATGAAGCTGTGGAACATATTGCCAATTACTGTATTCAGACTGGAATTTCGTATGAAGATCTAAAGACAACTGCAGACATTAAGGAATCGGATTATTGGCGTAGAAGTAAAAAGCCTGAAGAAGCTGGAAACGTATCGGGCAATGAACGTGCAGGTGATAATGTGCAGTCAGAGTGTGATCGTATTGCGAATCAACTTAGAAGTAATTTAGCGGAAGCAGATCTGGCAGCCGTTTCGAAACTACTTAAAATAAAAGATGCAGAGATAGCAGAAAATTTTAGTGATTTGCAAAATCGTTTAATACGATTGGAAAGAGAAAATCTGCACTTGAGAAATCGGACTATCAACGTAGAAGATGAAGAAACTGAAGTACATAGTAATGCAGCCGATAATGTAGATAGTTATGAACCAGTTAAAAATGAACGTACTCAGACTGAAGAAAATATCGCCAGTTCGCAGACCGTAACGAATACAGATATTAACTCATTAATTTCGGCATTAAATTCGTATGTTATTAATAACAACAGCAGAAACGTAACAAAAGACCATACAATTGAGAAATTTAAAAATAAGTCGAATTACAGCATAAAGGCATTTTTCCAGCAGTTTGACCGGGTAGCGGATAATTTAAGCTGGTCATCAGCAAAGCGTATCAGTATGTTACCAACGTATTTGGAAGAAGGTCCGCGTAAATTTTTCGAAAGTATGTGGTCAACGAATAGCAGAAAATCATATGTGGAATGGAAGCATATCATGTGTTTACGTTATCTGCCTGAAGATTATAAGCAAGTGAAACGTATGGAACTGGCACAGAAAACCTTAAAGCCTGGTGAAAATGTAGAGGAATTCTTCGATGAAATGTTGGACTTAATGCAGGAAATTAATCCAAATATGGCGGAAGAGGATAAGATTGCTGAAATACGTAGAGCTATTGACAGTAACGTCGAGTATCGTAAGCTCCTAGCAGTAGCTAAAGTGAATACAATTCCGGAAATGCGTAGAGTTTTAAGTAACTTGGCACGTATTGACCAGTCGGAAACGAAAGAAACTATGCAAGTTAGTACGGCACAGGCAGTTAATGCGTATGATTACAAGCGAGACCGAAGTAGATCTTTCGATAAGTTTAGATCTTTTCGGGAACGTAGCGGATCTCGCGATCGTAATGATTTTCGCAGTGGTCAGTACAGTAATAATCATAACAATTATTATGGAAGGAATACGTATGCTAACCGTGATAATCGTATTGACAACCGCTATATCAGTAATCGTGATACTCGTAATGACTTTCGTTATGGCAATCGCGATTCACGTACGTATGAGAATCGTGGCAGAAATGAAAGATGGAACCGGGATGAGCGAGGACGTAGTGGTAGTCGCGATCGCGGTGACCGATTTCGTAGAAATTTCTCCCGTGATCGTAGTGGAAGTCGGGACCGTGATGTAAATCGTAACAGAGAACGTGGTGATAATCGTAGATTTTCTCGTTCTCGTAGCCCTGGACAACGTGACTTACCGATTACACAATGGAAGTTCAGTCGTAATGAGATAGATTTCTCGTCGTACAGGCTGAATAACGGATTGTATTTCTGTCCGAAGTGCTTCGATTATCGGCATGGGTTTCGTATGTGTCCTTTCATTAAGAGTCGTAGAGATTTAGAATCTATATTGCCGAAATGTCCTGAAGATAAGAAGCGAGAACTACAGCGAGCGTATGAAGATGAAGTAGAAAAGGGAAATCAGAACGATAACTTCTGGGCGTCAGAAGAGGGAAAAGACTGTCGCCATACGTAAACGGAGGTCCGTATGGCCGCGTGAACAGAAAGCCTCCGGTAGACCGTATTGTATCATTGAGCGGCACCGTACCATTGAAGCGTAGTGAGCTGAGTACTAACTTACATGGCGGACCTGCATCCTGTAAACCCGCAAAGAAATGGAGCGAAAAAATGACGACACTGCAGAAGAGCGCCTGCGTCGTATGGAGCAGATGGCACGGGAGCGTAAAGATGCTGATGCTTTGAATCTCCAACGAGAACGTGAGCAGCGTGAACGTGACCAACAAGAACGTGAGCGGGTGCAACGTGCGGAGCGTGAGCGGGAAAGACAGCAGTGGCGTGCGGAAGACAAGGAGAAGCGCGATAAGTGGCGTCGTGAAGTAGAAGAGCGTAGTGAGAAGTTGCGACAGAGTAAAGCTTATGGAGATCAGCTTGAAATAGAAATAGCAGAAGAACGTCTCCGTGGTGCGCGTAAGGAAGTAGATCGTCTGACAGAGTCTATTTCGTGGAGTGAAGAGGAGGAAGCACGGGATCGGGAAAAGTATCGCAGAGAGCTCGAATCCCAGCGTTGACAACAGCGTATGAGTGGTCAGCGTCAGCAGCAGAATAGTATGCCACCAGCGTCGCACGT